TTCATCCAGTTAAAATATAGAGTTAAATACCAAGTAAAGTACTACGACGTTTATTAATAAAAAGTATTTTAAAAACTCATTTATGTCATTTTATTCAGGCACCACTGCTGCCTGAATAAAATGACAGATTTTCTTGGGTTTCAACATTGTTTGAAACATTTGTTCAACACTGTAAGGACACAAATAAACTATATAATACAGGTCTAGTGTCACATATTATAGCTTTAAGAATGTGTTCTGGTGACAGATTGTTCCACATGACTCATTTTAAACACTTTAGTCATTAACTAATATTTCAAATCCAATTGTTATGCCACAGCAGAGCGTGTTTCTCCCCCTAAAAACAGAAAAATAAGGATACAGTCCATTAACCATAACCCATAACTATCTACTGTACAGAGATTTCATGTGTGCTAATGCAGCTGCCTGTGCCATTTGATTCATCACTCATGATACTATATATGGAAAAGATAAATGAAAAAGTTGGATGGTTGTCACTGACATCTAAAGGGCACCAGCATGTTTTTACTCATAGGGCTAGAGCCCAGAAAAGGTCAAGTTCCTCACACCAACCGTAACGTGGGAAAGACAAAGATATTCCTTCACTGTAATGTCATAAGTTATTTTAACTCAAAGAAATAGTTGAAACTGGTTACTTAAAAAATTGTAATTAACACTTACTCAATTTTTTCAAAAGTTTAAAAGGATTCTTGAAGACATATCTGATGACCTCTGTTTCCTTTTGACTTTGACTCCTCACCTTCAGCTTCAGCTATTTGGGCTGTGTATTGACAATCTGGCGATACGATACGTATCTCGATATACAGGGATTATGATCTGATATATTGTGATATATCGTGAAACTATAAGCAAGGCGATACATATTGCACTTTTTCTTTTTAAATCCCAGTTAAGAAAATCTGGCATAGTATAAAGAACACACTACTATATGCATAAAATCGAAATAAAAACATGTTTTATGCAACCACAACAGTGGAATCTGCTGGAAATCTTTTTGTACATATCTTCATTACTATTTTGCTGACATTACGTGCTTACATGATTCATATGCAGTGTATCACATGTAATAAATGGTTCATAACACACTATAATGAAGTTGTATATAGAGGTGTGTATTAATGTTTGTCTATAATTTCTCCTGAACACTGATGCCCTTAAATCTGCTTATAACTATATTGCAGTGTATTATAAATTATTTATGAAGTGTGTGTATAATGCTTATAAATGCTAAAGCAACGTGTTGCCATTAATCTCACTAACCCTCCTCATATCCATTCAGCATCTGCCATCATTTAGCAAAACATACTGTAGGAAATACTACTGGCTGCCTCACACTAGCCATTATTTGCATATCTCCAAATTCCCATTTCTCCTCTGACCATGCCGTGCTGGTCCCATCAATGATTAGCCAGATGATGAAGCCATTATTGACTGAACCTGAGCCTGTGCCTCATGGAACATTAAATACATCACTTCCTCTCAAGGGGCCCGACGCAGCTCTCACCCATCTCCCCTTCAGGCTGCAGTCAGGAAATGAAAACAGCCATTAGAATCAAAGCGAGCCAGAGTGCTGTAGGACGCTGCACGCCTGCTACCCACGGCAACATCCTTCATCATGGAGCCAGGAACAGGGCCCTTGCATGCCTCGGTCAGTGCAGGTGTGGATGCAGCTCAGAGTTTGATGGTGGAACCCCCCTGAGGCATCAAACTGCAATGTAACCAACCCTTTGTATGAGGAGCTGTAGCACACCCAGCCCTCTTGACAAAACACTGTAATGTCTCTCTAACATCTCAAGAGTGTGTCTGAGTGTAAAGTGAGCTAGCTCCTGATATTTTCCCATCATGCTCCTTTAGTGGCTTACAGCTGGTGTATAGCCTCTATAGCATCCTTCTGTAGTGTATCACTGCCTTTTCTTATTCTCGCAGCTCAGATTCTTATTGTTTGGCGATGGATGGCCATTTGATCAATACTACAGAGGCTTTTCAGGTGTGCTACAATATATCCTGTCTCTTTTCTAATCTGTTTCATGTCCGGTTCAGGCCTGCTAAGATTCCCAACCACACCCCATCTTCTTCTTCCCTCCGCCGAGGGGAGCACAAATGATCGCACACACGCCGCCTCACCACCGTCCGTCTTTCGGCCTTACAAAACGGTTTGTGTCGCTCCAGGCCTGTGAGCTATAATGTCATTGTTGTTGCCGTTATTGTCAAAGCGATCTCTCTCACACACACAGACACACACACACACACACACATTCGCTCCGCGGTTGCAAAAAGGCACACCGATGGAGCCTCTCCAGCCTGCGTGCGTGCGTAAAAGAGGAATCAGAGGATGTGTAAACTGAGGGATGGGGTGCAGTCCTCCCGCCCCCCCCTCCCCATTGATAAAAACGAGTGGGTGAAGGATGGATAATGCTATGATTCATCACCAGCCCCCCCATCACCACAGCACTGTCACACCTCATCCTCGCGGCGCCTATCTGCACCTGTAACACGTTTGACCCTGTTTCGGGTCATCTCCATTGACTCTGACTGTATATTGTTTTCACTTATTGATTGATTCCAACAGCCTCGAGCCCCAGAGGGCTTCTCGCTCTATTCCTGATGATACTGACTTCCTTTAGCTCTGACTGCTCCACTGTGCCTTACACTGGTGGGTTCCTTTTTTGGGGGGAACACACCACCCCCTCCTCAAGACGAAGCTACACTAGTGCAAAATGATGGCAGGGCGGAGGAGGTGCATCGGCTAATGGTTACTGGATATGATGGGTGTGTGATGTTGACCACCACACTGGTTACACTGGGTTATAATGGGCAGCTGGGTGTGCAAGAGGCAGCTTTCTGATGGGGATTGCTATGCGTTACGCGTTCTAACTTCCGCGGAAAGTAAGGGGGGGGGTGGGTGTTTAGGTCTTTACTTTTAGCATGGCTTGTTCTTCTTCTCCTCTTCCCTCCTTCTGCCGAGCCATCACTGCCATGATGATCTTCCTCTCCTCCTCGGTCAGATGGCTGAGGTCCGGGAGATCCGGCATGGATGGCGGCACGGTGGGTGGGCGAGGGCCACCCTGGGGCCCCACCGAGGCGGACATCTTTTCCACCACCACCACCACCCCTCCTCCTCCTCCCTCCTCGGCGAGTCGTTTCGCGCTGAACAGGTTCCCGGAGCTTTCCGAGCCACACCTCACGACATGGTCCGCGGCCAGAGCGGCAGCGGCAGCCGCAGCTCCGGCGAATAGTGCAAGCCGCTCATGGTTGCAGGCACCCTCGGTTGTGCTTTTGTTTGTCCTCTCCTCTCTGGGTGTTTCTCCCACCACGCTCTCGTCGTCGTTCCCCCCCACCCCCCGCCTGCCCGCCTCTCCCCTCCACCACCACCGCCCGGATTCACGGGGAGCCCATCTCTCTGTTTCTTCACGCCGGGAGTTGAGTCGAGCTGAAGGGGGGACGCTGGATCATTCGGCTGGTCTGTGGTGCCTCCGCCGTCGTCGGACTGGAGCTGGATGTTAGGGCGGTATAGGCGGAGTCCGTGCTGCTGCTCCCCCTCTCTCTATTTCTCTCTCTCTCTCTCTCTCTCTCTCTCAGTCAATGGGAATGCAGCCCTCCTTCCTCTCCTCTTTTTGCGGAGGCGCGCTTACTCATGTGAGAATGGGGTCCTCACCATCATCACATGCAAGCAGAGCCTTTACCGTGGCTGCACACACACACACACACACACACACACGCACACACGCACACCCTTGACACACAAAGTTCCAAAGTGCCTCTAATAGCTATAACCAACCTGACTATCCGATTCTCGCGATACTTGTTTTTTTTTTAAGTAAAGCACACATTAAAGCCCGTTTTATAAACCACGTGTGGATTGTGTTGCAGCCGGCAGTGTACACATGATGAAGTTGTCTGTCCAGCAGCCGTTCGTCCATTTCAGCACCATGGACAGCAGCTGAGTCTCAACAGTTCGTTCACTGGTTTTATCAGCTGTTACAGTATCATCTGCTCTATAAGATAAATGATATTGCACCCACAGGTAAATCCTCCTATATGATACACAATCCGTTCTTGCCTATTATTTAGTTTTAGGTATATACAAGCTTATGTTGTTTTGCATGCATGTATTTTGCATAGGGCACTTGAGGTATATTGCATTTTATGTGAGAAAGTGTGTCGGGCTTTAGCATAAGTTTGACGTGTTTTTATGCTTTATACATATTATTGTGTTTCTTGTAGCCTAAGTCTGTATGTGATCTGTTTCCCCTGGCTGTAAAACAGACCTTCTCTCAGGGACCTAAAGTTAAACATTGTGCCATTGTAAAAACTCCAATGTGTTATGCTATGTTAAATTAATTTTAGGTAAACTTTCACTTTATCCTGACAGTAGTACATGAGATCAGTAATTTTTTTCACAATTATCTGTGCTCAATGTTTACTTACTGTTAAAGTTTAAAGTTTAAATGTCGACATGCACTGTGAAATGAGGGCCGAGACCCTGCTCGTGTTATTTTCGATTTAAATAAAGGTATATATATTATGTAATGTTATATCAATGTGCTGTTGTCCATTTGTCTTATATCAAGGGTTAACCCAAGATAACAATTCATTTATTTTATAAAATTGCCACATGATCCAAAAATCATGTAGTACAATAATAAGGTGTAAGAGGACGTGTCACTGTCCAGAGAAACTTCAGCCTGTTTATACTGCGGTCAGCTGATCTGAGAGAGGTTGAAGCTGCTCGATCAAACAGCTCCTGTCCAATAATAGCCTCAGTCAGAGCTACTACAGGCCAGCCCCCCCCCCCCCNNCCCCCGTCTGTCCCGGCTCGTTTTGCATTCAGATCCAGACTCTCAGGCTATACCGATCCGGAGCTGGCACCGGTTTCTCCCCGATGACGTAATGCCGGGTGAGTGGCTGAGTCCATCCAGCAGATGGCATTAACCCCGGCTGCTGCCACCCGAGCCTCCGTCAAATGACGTCAACGAGGAGGTGACTCTGCCGCGGTGACGTCAACTTCCCGTGGTGCAGAATTTTGTCATCATTTAGGTCGTGACTGGGGACCACCAGCCCTGAGTGACACAGTCGTGCTACAGCAGAGCGGATCTTTGGTGCAGACCTCAGACTATAAATAAAGCCTGAGTGCAGTCTGGAGGAGGACAGAGAAGCCCTGCCTTGCATTTAGGATGTGCTCAATTAGCTCTGTCAGCCCTAATAATGCTTACTGTTAGTAAACTCAACACATGTAATAAATAGGATGCATGCACAAAATTTATGAAATGCTATATTAATGTATGAGAGGTGTTATGAAAGTTAGGTTTTCACTGGTTGTAATGCAGCTGAGGCGATGGAACCACATGAAAGTGTTCCACATGTTTCAAAACTTTTTCAACATCCATCAAAGATGGAATCAAAATGACCCTGTTGAGACAGACCAGCCCATGAAAACACTCATAGCTGAGTAATGGTGAAATACAGAGAGAAAAAATGTGCTCATTGGTAGTATGTGAAAAAGACTTCACAGAAACACCTTGAAAGCCTGCAAATAAGTAGTGGCCTCATTCCTCCCGGGGAGCGAAGAAGAAAGGCAGATTGACCTAGCTTCAGCACAAATAGCCAACATTTTACAGCCTTTTATCAGAATGAGTGCTGTCTCATCATCTCTGGGGATACTGAGGAAATAAAGCCATTCCCATTGCTGTGCATAACAAGTATGTTGGAAAATAAGTAAGAATCAAAGAAGTGAGGATTGTTGGGAGATTTTGGTGAGAGAGCCATCTCCTGGATATCAGTGGTTGTGAAGCCTCCTCTCAGAATCTACATTTATTATTATCACACAGATGAAGTAAGCAAACTTTTGTTCAAGGAGAATTGAGCAAAGGGGAGTAGGAGGATCAAACTGTAGCATTAGCAACAGCATCCTCTGCAGGGAGATGTTGATTTACTGAGTTTTGATGGTTTGAACAAGTACAAAAAAAATCTTAAAATGGTGCAACAAACTGTAATACGAGTATAAATATAAGTTATTTTTTAAATATACTCAATTAACATTGAAAATTATTTTCTTAAATGTAATATAATAATTAATATAAGTGAAACTAACTTAGTTTTGTATGTTACAGAAACATTCCATATTATTACTTATTATATAAATTATATAAAAATATATTATATTACTTTTTATTACGTATTTTGCTTTCACAGTACAAATAAAAACTATAAAATGAACTCAGTGTCACTTAAAATGACTAAAGTTACTTGATCAAGAATGTTTTTTTACTTACTTAATTTAATTAGTTTTACTTAAAAATTTTGATGCAATCAGTTTCAACATTGTTTTTTTAGTTAAATGAACTCATCTGGTTTTAAAGTGCAGTCGGAACATTTTTTATAGAATCTGTTAAGTAGTACCCAAAATTATACGGTTTAATTTGTTTTATTCAATTTAAAATAGACACTAAGAAGAATGTTAAATTCAAACGAAATACAGGGAATAACCCAAAATCCCCAACATTCAAAACAACATTTGCCTCCGTGATGTGTGGTTGTCTTGAATGTTGTCACTAATACTTAGATAAGCTAATGTGCAATGGCACTCTGTTGTCAGTGACTACTGGAACTTATTTCTGTCATACTTAGTAATGGGTAAATAATATTTATATCTTTGTTTTGGTGACATTCTAAAGATGAAAGTAATTAAACTGCCAGAAGATATTCCCACAGAAACATACTGACATCTAGTGGACAGAGGAAAGCCCTGCAGGTTAAAGTGAGAGTGACTTTTGGTAAAAGTTCAAACAGTACAACAGTAGCACAAGTGGAGAAGAGT